TTTCCTCCGATATCCTTTCAACTTCAAATTGTTCCTGCCTTCTTCTCCACACTTCCTTCGCGCTCGATTTTAACAGGAAAACGCGGCGAAAAATTGAACAGTTCTAATCTCGCCAAGTTACGTTTCTCACCTTAGTTACACCTAATCTTTTACAAATTATTACAAAAATTAACCCTTTGCCCTCTACTGGTGCTATTCACAATATCCACCGTAACTCCATTCAAGTTTTATTTATATCAAAAGAGATAAAAGTGAATAAATTTTCTTTTCAAACTAATACTTCTCGTTTTCAAAAATTTCACTGCACAAGTGTGTTCGTACTGCTGCTCGATCGTTTCGAGTGCAAAGGGTTAATAATAAAAAGAATTCTAACTGAAAGTAAACATAAGAATGTCCAAATTTCACCGTGATTGTACGATGGTTCGTAAATGCAAACGATTGCTACTTCTTGCAAACGTAATTTCTCAGCAAAGAGAACGCGCTCACAGTAACGTAACTCATTCCCGCAAACTTCTTAATTCCAACGATGGCCGATTAGCCGACACGAGTTACCCGCGTCTCGAAAACTTCGGTAACATGATCGCGAAGGCGTCGCGGTTTTAATTGTCTCGACGAGAGACAGAATCTACTCTCCCTCTCTCTGTCCCTTTCAGACGGCCGGATGGCGAGGACATTAAACTTGCCGGAGCGCCGCTTATCTTACGACCAACCACCTCGTCTTCTCGCCCTACGCTTCTTTCTTACGCGAATGCTACTTGTTCTTCGCTAACTACGTACGCGGAAGTTCTCCTCCCGCCCAGTCGAATAACTTTTGTATCGCGCCGCGATGAATATGAATGTCTGCGGGCCACAAAGAGAGAGAGGAGAGCTCACAGCTTGTTAGAACGGGTTTGCATTCATTCGACACTCCCCGTAGCCGCGACTCTTTTCCAAGCCGACAGCGATACTTTTTTCGCGGGCCATTCTCGCGACTCGAATCGAAAGGGAAACTTCGCCGGCGAACGAGAAGCAAGCGAATTCGCCTCAGGGCGGACGCCGTTCCGCGCCTCGTCGTCGTCGTCCTTGTTGTTGCCGCGTGAATTTCAGATAGTCGAGCTTTTTTCGAAGATCGTTTGCATACCATTATCGCGCTGCATATATTTTCGGCAGACGCCATTATGGATTGTCGAGCGACGAGCTTTTTTTCACATGCTGATTTCACGGTTACTCCGACGATGCCGGAAATTCTGTTCTCCAATTTTCTGGTAAACATTACGATTCGTTTTTTGCATTTGTTTTTGCACTTGTCAGCGGCAGATTGAACGATTCGATCGTTCTCTCGTATATTGAGCTATAGCTGATTAATTTTCCTCTTAAATTTCACTGTGTAGAGGTGTGGCGGGTACGTCGTCGTCAACAAACCCTTACCGAACCTCGTTCTATTCTTCCACGCGAACTTTCCCTTTTCCAACTCCTTCAAATTTTAGTTTCCGTTCTTTTGTCTCTCCCCGGGTTAAGACTTGCCTTCGTCCTCGAGTAGCCTAAGAAGCGCACATGTGGCATCCAGGTTCGCACGAGGACGAACGAATTTTCCATTTCCACCACTTTCTCCACTTCTATCTTTATCTATCGCTACTCCTAACAATATAAAAACCCAGTACGCCTACACTTCCGGACAGTTTTTCCTTCACCGACCATCGCGACGTACCCGCTGCCGCCGGGACAATTAACAAAGTAAACGATTGTATTTTCTGGACCAATTGTACGCCGACCATACTCTTATACTTTAATAAATTGAGGTGAAAACAGTGTAACGACGTTCCTCACCCACCTCAGAGGGAAACGTTTCAGATGTAATTAGGTCGAAACCGTTGAGCTTCCGTTCGCAACGCCTCACGAGGTAAATAGCAATTGATGTTCGCGAGGAACACAGTTGTTCCCCGTGAACTATGAAGTTCATTTAGCGCTACATGTTCGTCATCAATCATAGTCTGGGTAAACATAGTTCGGTAGAATGTCTGGCGTCGTTATAGTTGTTCGAAGAAGAACGTATCAGCGGAAGCTCCGTCGAATCTCTGTTTCATCTCTCGTCTCTTTTAACAGACACCATCTTTCCACCGATCTTTTTTTCCTCTCTCTCTCTCTGTTGCCGTTCAACGGGTTCCTTTCACGCGCTAAAATTTCTCTCGCCGTCATAGACATCAGATCCGATTTCGAAGGGGATCGCGATGCTTTATTAGTTATTTATAGGGAGCGTAACGGGCGGAAAATAAAAAGTTGGCGCCGCTCTGTGAAACGGGAAAGGGCGAAAGACACGAAGCGGTCTGCGCCGGTGATACGAAACGCGTTTTTATGTGGGCCGGTTCGTTTCAAAAGAAAGCCACCCGTTTGAACGCGTGGTACGCGAAACACGGCATACCCGGGGGATAATTATCGTCTCCTCCTCTCTTTCCAAGAAACCACGCAGCCAGGGGAAAAAGCGGCCAAGGGTGAGGCTTGTCGTGAATCGTTCTCGCGTTTGCCTCAGATTCACAGGCCTCTGCAGTCCCACTTTCTCCGCGTCTTTGACGTTTTTAACGTCTTGTTAACGCAAACTTGCCTAGGTAAATTAAAAAAAACTGGCACACGCGAAAACTTGAGAGAAGCAAATCTACTTTTTACCTTGATAAAATATAAATGACACTTACATATTTACTTTTATACGTACAGATAGCGTAACAGGGATTCTATTACATGGCCTACTTACTCTAACGTAGAAATCAAGTTTTTGGGCAAGCTTCTCTCGATCAGGAAACCTTGTACCATTTATCTTTGACAGACGTATCCGCGCGGCGAAAGATATCTATCTATTTTTGGCTGACGTGGCACGGTTCCACGTATTCCAAAAGAATCCTCCGAGTGTCTGCCTGGCCTGTTTCTCACCAGCGGAGAAACTTTCAATTCCTTCTTCGAAGAATCACCTCCAGAGAGAGAGGGGGAGAGAGATTCCTTCGAATAAACTTGGCCAGATTACGTCCGGAAGAGCCAGGGGTACTTTATGCTCGGTTCTCGTGTGATAAAGCGATTCCGCGAGGTCTGTGCTCGCGTGGCAACCAGTACGTATCTCTCCCTCTGCTGCTGCGTGCCCGAAGAACATCAGCTTTTTCGCGAGAGATCCGGTCGCGTGAAGGAAGTTCACTCTGGAGGAAAAGAAAAACGTCAGAAGCCCGGGGAGTCGTAAACGCACCTCTCGTCGAGCCTAAATCCTCCGCTTCGACCCTCCGGCTGTTCAGCATATTCGACCGCAAAACAATAAACGCGCCTCGTCCTTCCCGGTAATCTTGACATCGATAATTTCGCAGAACCGCGTGGGAGAATCCGGCGGCTGTTGCTCCATCACCACCGTGAAAAAAGAATCGCAATTTTCTCTTCAAGATCGCGTACACACCCCGCGGCTGCGAACCGAGACCCAACCATCCTTTACTTTTCTCCACTTCGAATCTTCTGTTTTCTTCATATCCTGCAGGATCTTCTGCGGAATAAACTGTGGCTCTGGGATCCACCATTTTTCTTCGATAGTTTAAATCTCTCTCTCTCTCTCTCTCTCTCTCTCTCTCTGATCATACAGGCGGAGATTCTTTGCTTAGGCCTTTGTTGGCGCCTCTTTACGATAATACATCCAAGGTGGAGATTAAATTTTCTTCGACCTTCTTTGTGCGTCCTTTTGGAGAATTTTTCGTGAAGTCATGTATCGAGTGGAATTTCTTTAGGATGTTTGATCCTTCAGACGACGAGGTGTCGTATTTTATTAGAAAAATGTCCAAGTGTGTACGAATGGATATCTGTCGAATATTCTCTTCGATTTATTCTCGTCTGCTTTGTTCGACACTTATATTCACTAAAGGAAAGTTCGAAACCGTTGGGAGACCATGGTTCGAAACTATCTCGTTGATACGCTATCGTCAAAAACACCGATAGTTTCTCTCGTTTCGAAGCGGCCTGAAAATCGTTTACCGGATTAACTTCGTCACGCGAATTGTCTAGGGTTGGGGAGGACTTGTTCGAAGACAGTTGCGATTAGAAAAACAGTTCGGAGGCTGCCAGTTCGTCGATGGCGAGCGTGTATCCCGCTAAATACCACGTTACTCCATTAACGGGGATAGACGAATCCATACCGCGTTCCATTCAGTTTCGCGCAGCTGAATACGACGATCAAGCCACATGCAGTGTTAACTTTCGAGAAATTTTGAGAAAGCATTAACTAGCAACTGGGCCAGGCTATAACTCTGTTCAAAGTGAAGCTTAGTGAGGCAAAGTGAAGTTTAAATTTTTCAAATGGAACTACACAACTTTTTTGCATAAATTGACTCTTGGAATAATTCTGAATCATTGAAATTTTCTCTCGTTCCATCTTTTTTAGAATTGCTATAGCCACAATTCTCATCTATCATCCTGTGGTACGATTTTTAAATTTTTCAAATGGAACTACACAACTTTTTTGCATAAACTGACTCTTGGAATAATTCTGAATCATTGAAATTTTCTCTCGTTCCATCTTTTTTAGAATTGCTATAGCCACAATTCTCATCTATCATCCTGTGGTACGATTTTTAAATTTTTCAAATGGAACTACACAACTTTTTTGCATAAACTGACTCTTGGAATAATTCTGAATCATTGAAATTTTCTCTCGTTCCATCTTTTTTAGAATTGCTATAGCCACAATTCTCATCTATCATCCTGTGGTACGATTTTTAAATTTTTCAAATGGAACTACACAACTTTTTTGCATAAACTGACTCTTGGAATAATTCTGAATCACTGAAATTTTCACTCGTTCCATCTGTATTAGAATTGCTATAGCCACAATTCTCATCTATCATCCTGTGGTACGATTTTTAAATTTTTCAAATGGAACCACACAACTTTTTTGCACAAATTGACTCTTGGAATAATTCTGAATCACTGAAATTTTCTCTCGTTCCATCTGTATTAGAATTGCTATAGCCACAATTCTCATCTATCATCCTGTGATACGATTTTTAAATTTTTCGAATGGAACCACACAACTTTTTTGCACAAATTGACTCTTGGAATAATTCTGAATCATTGAAATTTTCTCTCGTTCCATCTTTATTAGAATTACTATAGCCACAATTCTCACGTATAAACTGTCCCATAAAATTCCCCAAAATTCGACAATCCTCGTTGTGTAATATCTGTTAGTTGATCTTCGTAGCAAAAAAGTGTATCGTTTAAGTAAACCAGAAGACGAACCTTTTTGCATAAATTGACTCTTGGAATAATTCTGAATCACTGAAATTTTCTCTCGTTCCATCTTTATTAGAATTACTATAGCCACAATTCTCACGTATAAACTGTCCCATAAAATTCCCAAAAATTCGACAATCCTCGTTGTGTAATATCTGTTAGTTGATCTTCGTAGCAGAAAAGTGTATCGTTTAAGTAAACCAGAAGACGAACTTAAAGAATTGCGTTCGTTTAACCAAGCGTCTTTGAATTACTTTGCAGGTTCGCTTACCCAAGGGACAAGACACGTTGCTTTGGTGCCGCGTTCTAAGGATGCCAAACATTGATCACAAACACCACGTCGTGCAGGTAAGTTGCCCCATAGCTATAACCTACTTACCTTACAAACCCCCCGTGCCGCGTCTTACGCATCTAACCCATCTAAACTTGATTAAACCGGCGGCGTACGAACAGATTCCCGTCGACATGGGAGCAGTCGAGCACCAGAGATCCCGGCCTTTCCAACTGGAAATCCTCCTCGCGAGTTCCTCCCGGGGATCAGAGCAATCGTTTCCTCGCTCGGTTTACGCTCAACGTCGCGGCCCCTCCATTACACCGAACGACTGATGAGACGGTACAAATCACCGTTCTGATAGCTACAGACTAAATCTCTCTTTCCTAACGATCCGTCGTGCGTTACTCTTTGGCGCGTTCAGGGAGATCGATCATTCACGCGAAAACGAATTTCGTTTCCATTAGTGACGGTGGTACGCGGTCGAAATTCTATGGCCACACAATGGTGAATTCTTTCGCGTTACAGAGTAGACTTTGACAATAGAGATTAAATACCACTAATGTTTCATGCACGAGGAATTCGTTTTAATATTTTAACGTGTATTCTTTTATCTAGACAAAAGTCAGTAGACACTCCAGGAAAAGTATCTTGATAATTTTTTAAAATTTCAAATCCGTCAATTTTGACGGATTGTTTCAATGTCGAGATAAAAGAGAAAAGTGAGATGACACGACGTGTTTCATTAGTCGCGATAAGTAACACAGGATCAATAATATCTGTAAAATGAATCGTACGCGAGTATGCCACGTAACGCGATTACGTTGCAATCTCTCCTAACCAAGCCGCGAGAACAGCTTCTCTATTCGAGAATTCCGTTTCATCGAGGATAAGTTCGTCAATAAGCGACACGTGCTTAAAATTCCACACGGACGATTCACACCTCGCGAATTCAACGGCACATGTCGATTCGTTAAAAGGCCCCTGATTTATCGACGATGCATCGCTTCGTCGTTTGTACGTGTGTGTGTGTGTGTGTTCGCGATGGATGAACGCGATGAATTAAGTTCTTACGAGTCAGCGGCGTTTCTTTCGCGTTTGACAGGTGGTTGGATGTTAACGCGAGGGGGTTTTCCCCTTTTCCTTTTTCAGTACGAGCCGGTGATACAACCCGGAAGTCACGTTTACCTGCATCACATGACTCTGTACGAGTGTCGCGGGGATCAGGCGGAATTGGAATCCGCGGCGAAGACGTCCGGCAGTGTTTGCAATCAGCCAAATCAGCCCAATCAGCCGTCTTTTCAGTGCAACACAATCGCCGCTATCTGGAGTCTCGGCTCTGAGGTACGTACGTTACGTGACAACATTTAAATGTAAATGAAGAATTAAATAAACTTCCACGACGTGGACGAGCTGTAATAAATTTGAACGGAATAAACCGGAAAATTGAATTCGTTCACCGTTCAATCTGCGATCGTATCCAGTCTGTGGATGGGATTAATTAAAATTTATCGAATCGATTCGAAACGCAATAATCGCGAGTATAACCGTTTAAAAAAAAAAGACACCTCTCTCTCTCTCGTGTGTGTCAACTTTAATCGTCTTCCTTCGAAACAAGACGATTCTCTTTTTCTCTGTTTTAATCGTTCTTACGCTTATGGGAATGCTGTGCTACACGAAACGAGAAATTAAATCGTGACGCGATGTCGCACGTGAGATTACCAGCTGTCTCTCGATCGGAGTCGCGTCTTCACAGGGTGTTCACGTTACCCGGCGACCGCGAAGAAACGCATTGGTATGCATTACACAAAACCCAGAATTACCGCGATACACTCTCTACACCGGTGTATCCGCTCTTGCGGGATTCTCTTGCTCTCTTGCTCGTGTCCCGAGCGATGACGTCGGATTAACATTCGTGGACAGTGATTTATCCCCGCGTAATTACCCCCGTGACTGATTCAAATCTCGATCGTATCTGAAATATGATTTATACCTACAATTACGCTACCTGTGCTTATTCTATTTTAAACAACTACCACCGTACCTACTGCCGCGCAATCAACTTTTATCATTTAAAAAACAAAACAACCCTTCTTCCGTAATATCTCGGCAAATCCATCATTTGGATTGCATAAGGTAGCGAACGTAATATCGCGACATAGACAGCAGATTATTCTTCGTCATTCTCACCTGACAGAGGTCGATACAAAATTTTACGTAAAAAGGGACGTTTGCGAAAAGCTACACGAATTGTTTTCGCGATTACGTCCGCGAGCTTGTGCCAGGAAGCACTTAGGCCTCGATAAATGCTGGTAAATTGAACGCGTTTCATTTTCGAAATATCAGAAGAGACAGTATAATTCGGTGCATAACGGAGAGAATTCTTCGTGTTTCTTCAGGGCTTCAATTATCCGCCGGAGGCAGGTTACGCGCTGGATCCCCGTGCAGGGCCACGTTACTACATGCTGGAAACGCACTACACGAACCCGCAGATGGACGCGTTCATCAGCGACAGCTCAGGTTTACGTTTGCATTACACGGACCGGTTGCGCACCCACGACGCTGGCATTCTGAGCGTCGGCATCGACCCTAACTGGAGGCATATCATACCGCCAGGCCAACCAGAAGTGGTCTCCGAAGGTCATTGCATCTCTGACTGTACCGGACAGACCATTCCCAACAGCGGCATCAACATATTCGCCGTCATCATGCATACTCATCAACTGGGCAGGAAGGTCCGATTGCGTCAGATAAGGTCCGGCGAGGAGCTGCCACCCATTGCGTCTGACACCAATTACGATCCTAGCTATCAGGAGTATCGGAAGCTGCAGAAGCCCGTCAGGGTCTATCCGGTGAGTGTTCGTCCTTCTCTCGCGTGATCTTTCGATCTCTTCGTTTTGTTGCGGTTTAATTGAACTCGTTCGGAAGACGGGAGGGATTTATGCGACGGGAACAATGGCAATTCGGAGGATTTTAAAGGAGAATTTGGTAGACTTCGAGGACGATTTGGAAGAGTTTGAAGTGTTATACTTGTTTGCTTGAGACTATCGTTACGGTTTAATCGAAGCCGTTTAAAGACGAGAGAAATTTACGCGATGGGAGATAAAGGATTAAGGGAATTTTTGTTGCGTGAATCAATGAGAATTTGGTAGACTTGGACGATTTTTTAAATAGTCTCCGGTACATAGATTAACGGCGAGCGTTACGTGTGTGTTCCAGGGTGATCATTTAGTGGTAGAATGCACATACTCGTCCAAGTCCCGGCAAACAATCACGCTGGGCGGTCAGACGAGACGAGAAGAAACTTGCTTGGTGTCCACGCTTTATTATCCGCGCATGGATCTGTCGATGTGCTACTCCCTGCCTTCGTTACACACGGTTCTGCAGAGTTTGGGGATCCAAGAATTGATGCAGTGAGTATTTGTCAAAAATCACTATATGAAACGTATCGACGAGAGAGAATTTCCTCCCTCCTGTGTACGTCTCCTCTCTTTCTCCCTTACCCCTTTCATCGCGAGGCAAACGAGACGTGTGTACAGTGGCTGGTCGATTTGTATCGCGCGAAACAATCACGGCCACCAGTTTCGTCGCTTCTGTTTCACTTTTTGCCACGGCGAGTTCAAAGACCGTTTGATATTAATTTACACGGCACGATAGATACCACGTTAATGATCGCGACGCAACACGCCTCTACGTGCACACACGCATACACACAAAGCGTTGACCAGACATTCGCTCCTTTTACTCTGATTACTTTAAATTGGCAATTAGGGACGGCGATGGCCCGTGCGTCACGACCGCACGACCTGTCGTTAGTTGAACGAGCGGCCGGTTATATTGCGCCAGACGAACGCATCGTTCATTGCATTACGTAATGTTACGTGTGTCACGAAGACGCTTCCTGCGACGTGTCACGAACTTTAATGTAACAAGCGTCCTGTTTCGCTAAACACACTCCTCTTCTACATTGAATACCGTAGTTAAATTACTGTTATTACCGCGGCTAATATCGGCACAGGCCCCGGTTTCTAGTTGGCTCGTTAACTCCCGCAGAGATCATTGTCATCTTTGCGCGACGTCGTTGTCAAATGACCGACCGAGCGCAAAACAACGTCTCTATTTTAATATCGTCCACCTGTTACTAATAACCCGGTCGTTTCTCAGCCATCGGGCTAATTACCGTAAACGTTCGAACAATTACCCCATTCTATCTCCGCCGATGAATCAGATTCTATTTCCTAGACCTGTCCCGTCTCTCTCTCTAACTTTCCCCGCCAGGAAATCCAGTTTACCAGGACCAGTTCGCCAAAATTTGCCGGTTAAGAAAGAGAGGCACACGTAGAGAACGCGAACGTGTTCGTCTCTCCCCGGAGAGACAGACACAAAGGCTTGCAACAAGCTTTGTTCCTCCAAACGAGCGTGTATTCGCGATGCGGGTCACGGGACTCTTGAAATTTCGTCGCTGGCTCTCGTCTCTGACGAATACACACATATAGATCCGAGAGTCCATACGAGAGACTTCACGTATCCCGCGTTCTTCTCGTTACAGAGGTTCCAGCCCAGTGAAAATTCAAGAACCGCAGAATTTGGCCGGGATGACGTTGGAGGAGCGTCTTCTTAGTTACGACTGGGGTACCAGCTTTCAGAGCTTCCAGGTGGCTACCAGAGGAGGCACCTTCAAGCCTCTCTGTTGGACGAGCAACGGTGCTCTGCCTGGGACGAACAGCTTGGAGGTTCACTATCCTCGAATCCTGAAGCCGTACGAGGAGGTGAACATGCCGTGTTCGAAGAAACCGTTGAGAAACAAGCTGTCGATGTTGCTGAGCGAAGACGAGGATATCGGCGCACCTGTGGATCCTGACAGTGACGAGACCAACGCAGTCGAACGTGGACAATTGGTGCGCAGCAAAGTGTCCCGTAGCAGTGACGGGCCAACCGGCGGAAGTTCCTCGATCAGATCGGTACCGGTCACCATGATCTTTACTACACTACTGGCGTTGATCATCGGTGGTGCATTCAGGTGAACACTGGCTGGTCGTCTACTACACGCTGATCGATCAAACGAGACGATCGATCGATACCGTTTATCTAGGACGGCCGTTTTATCCTCTTGTTGATCGCGCTGGATCGGGGAGGAGATGCATAATGTAAGTACGTGCCGGTGTGTACCCTCTGACGCGTCACTTAGGCTAAATAACTATTGTCGTTCATTGGTCGTTGAGTGAGGACGCGGTGGACGTTAGAGCGGCGTGTTGTTCCGTTCTCGCGTTCGTTTCCGCGTTTCCTGACCCGGGCTACTCTCTCTCTCTCTCTCTCTGTCCCAGTTGCGATCAGTTGTGCAATTTTTCAGACGTCGGATAGAGACGATCCGCGTTTCTCCACGGTCGCGCATCGAGCGAGCGGCAGACGTGAGCCGCGATCGATGCGAAACGACGTGGGAAAGAGAAATATTTTTGATGGCTCGGAGGGGCCGTGAACTGAATGATACTATGGGAGAGGTCGTTTGAAAGAAGACGGGTCTATAGAAAGAGATTGCCAAATATATTTTCCCCCTTAATGAACCGTTCCATCGAGAGGAGTTTCGATCATCCGCACACGGTGTCCTCATTCAATGATCGATCCTCCCATTTCGCGATCTCTGCACCACTATAACTTGTTACGACTGTATTTTTGCGCGCGTTGTCGTCGTTTTGGATATCTTTCGAGAGAGACGAGAAAAAAAATGAATAAACAAGGATTAAGAGGGAATTTTTTTCGAGGGAATTTTTTCGAGCGATCTAATTTCTACGGCAAATAGATTAACGCGTGAACAAGTCTGTGTGTGCGGGACGGTAAATGTATAAATACCGGTATGCTAACGAAAAAGGATTCATCGACCCGTATCGACGCTCGGGTAAAAGCATACACACGGACTCCCGGGAATCTTTCTGCCGCTCGGATGTTAACTGATACGATCAAAGAAAATCACCGGGAAATTCTGTCGAAGAATTGCATTTCCGTCGTAAACGCTAACGCGAAAGCCTGTCCTGATCGCGTCAAAGCGAACAGGGCAGCCCTCTTTCTCTCACTTTTTCACGCGATCAGATAAAAGGGACAACGCGCCGATACGAATCGTGAATCGGCGTAATCGGCGAACGACTAAGTCGCTCGTCTCTCTTTCCCCCTTTTTTTCGTTACCTTTACCGTGGTCCATTCTGTACATTCTCCACGAGACGTGTATTATATTGCGTGAAATATAATAGGAAAATGTCGAGCGACGATGATAATACGGTGTATGTATGAAGTTTACATATAACACGTTTTTAGAAATCCTCTTTTAGTAGTTGAGTTTTAAACGCGACTAAAAAAACGAGACGAAAGAACAAGAGTAGAAGGAAAGTTTCTAGTCCATTTGTGGGAGCAACGGGCCGCAGTTTCGAACAGCGGTCCGTCGTTCGAAGATAAGAAGCGACGCGTGTAAGTCGCGGATGTTCGGTGCTTTAGTCTCTATTTTCAGCAGCTAACGATCTCGAACGAAAGATATCCAACGGCGGCGGATGGGAAAACGGCAATCCCTGTCGATCGAGCGGAATTATTTTCAAGCTTCTGGACTCGAAAAGAATTTATATTGTTGGCTGTTTATTTCCCAGGCGTGGAACCAAGCGAACCGAACGCGTTCGAGCGAACCTCCGGAGAAAGGAATATCTCCGCGAGAAAAACACGGAGAGAGAGAGAGAGATACTTTTCAGATTTTTCAGAGCGTAATCTTATCGGTGAATATACACAAGTCTCTTTTCGAAACGCGTCTCTCTCGCTTGGTTCCACTCGGAGTCTGTATATTCTGTTATTATTAGATCTATACGAATAGATGCGTTTTTTAACGGACGAATCATATAAACGTTGGTCGATTCGCATGTCGAAGCTTTCTCCGTGTTTCGCGGTTATCTTCCCGTTGTCACTCGACCAACGTTTGTACCGTTTCCTTTGTAATATTCTGTACAGTTTCTTAATTATAACTCTCGTTGTTCAACTTGCCCCACTTAAACACTGGTGGTCGGTGATTATTTATTTTTTATTTAATATTGTATAGAAAGAGAGCGAGTTTTGCTTGCCACGTTGACACTCTGTTTCGCTCGCGTTTTTCACGCGCCGCAACCCACGTTTTTGTATTCCGCGAGCCACACGTTCGCGAACCGCGCGCGACACACGAGGAAGCGTTACGTTCGGTTTCTTGATGCGTTCTCAGGCCCCACCCGATGGGGGGGAACACTTGTCGCTACGAAACGGCACACATACACACACACACGCGGTGTCCCGTGCCGCGATTTCCACCTGATCGATTCCACCAGCGGAAGACACGCGCTTCCGTTTCATCCTTTTCGCGGACGTTCATTTTATAAAGCGGTGGTGCTTTGGTTTTCCTTCGAGAGAAAAAAACAAAGAAACAAAAGGTGATCGATAACTATCGATACTCTGATCCGAGTATTTGTGATTAAATTAGCAAGCTTGCAAAGCTTGAGGATGTGTAACATAGAGAGAGGTTGTATTATTGTGATCGGAGAATCTATTGAAATTTTGTAACGAATTACCGAATATAGCGTGTAACAATGGAGGTAATAAAACAATTATTTGAAACCGAAGCATAGTTTGTCATGGTGAAAAAACAAAAAACGAGACAACCGATATTTACTGTTATTGGGTACGGAAAAAAAAACCGAACGACGCACACAGGAGGGCGTCTGAAATTTTTAATGCCGCTCGAAACACACGGCGTTCGGGAACATTGTTTTTCTCCCGCCACCCTGGGGGGATACCGAAGGATATCGCGTTCGCCAAATTTTTTCCCCTTTCCTTTCCAACTTTTAATTAAATTTAATTCGATTCGATTCTTGACCCGCGTCAATTCACCTTTCTCCCTTCCACCTTCTCCTATCAACCCTACCCACCACCTGATCCGTGTCTCTCCCCGGCCCACAACGGTAGCCGATACTCTCGATACAATCGACGACAAATTTTCCAAGCACCACTTTAAATATTAAGAGAAGAGGAAGAAAGGAAACGGAGAAAAGGGGGGGGGGAAGGAAAGAGGAGAAGAGAAGAGGTGGTGGAAAGGGAAAAAGTGACGTGCACGATGGCGTGCAGCAGCGGGCGAAGAGGACTTATATACGAGCGGAGCACCCGCGATCGATAGCGTTGTAGTCAAGAGTCCTCTAACGCGCGCACTTTTCCTGAATTCCATTAGCATCGAGGAGAGAACGCGCGCGGCGTTCGCGGACAAAAGCCACGGAGAATCGAGGAGCCTCGTAAGCGCGCGCGTCTTATTCGGGGAATAATTTCACGGGGACGAAAAGAAGAGAAAAGAAGAAGAAAATTCTCGCGTTTCGATTCGCGTGTGCGTGTTATTGTTGTTTTCCTTTCGTTCTCGATCCCTTCTCACCCTTTCCCACCCTGTCTGTCGGTCGTCAATTAAAATCCGTTCTGTCGATGTTAATTATTAGGTTATATACCGAAAACCTGCACGACGACCGGTTGTCAATGATAAAGCTCTCTCTCTCTCTCTCTCTCTCTCTCCCTAGTGTAGAAATAAAGAAAAAAATTGAAGAAGAGAGTAAAAGCTCTCGCTAAGTAGTCGGACTAATCGGTAAAACTAAATAAACGACGTAGCCTCGTTTTACAATTTAATACTACGGATAATTCGTAAATGTCATAGGGGATCTGTGTGTGTAGAAATCGTAGGGCAGTCGAGCGATCAATTTTTACCCCCCTTTTACCCTTTCGCAGGGCAAAGAAAAATCTCCCCTTCTTTACGTTTTAGACGCTGAAAGTCCGTTCCTTGCCGTTGATAACTGCCGTGATAACTGCCAATCGTCGCTTCGCGCTAATGTCAGCGTTCTAATTAACGAACCTCCAGCTACGTTCTTTCCCTTCGTTTTTCTCGTTCTTTATTTTTCTTCATTCTCTCTTTCTTTTTGCGTTTCCTCTTTGTAACGCTTGAGACATGGAACCATCGAGTCAGCACGACACACATGACACACACGACAAGCAAAATATGAAACACACAAACACATGTGTACACAGATGAAGAATACAGAAATTGCTGCGAGAATCATCGTCGTCGATGAATCGATACGACGACGATGTAAGGATGAACAAAAAAAGAAACGATAAGGCATGTATGTACATATATATAGCTGAGGAAGAATTTGAGTAAACGCTCGAACGAAGAACCGCTGCTTTCTTTCCCTCGAATTTCTTCGCCGCGCGTGAGTAAGTACGTTACGTACGATCCGCCACGGGATAAGCGGGATGATTTATCATCGCCGAATGGGAACCTCGTTACAATCGGCCGTTGCGCGCGCGAGAGAGTCAAGGAGAGACGAAGAAGAGGAAGTCGTTCCGTGACTTGTTCCGCGCGTTGAAAGATGTCGACGCTGATTTCAGTAGGACACGGTTTGAGGGGGGAGCGGTCGTTTCGTTGACGTTCTCCTCTCTGTCGCGGAACTGCCGCCTCGCGTATTTTCGGGGCTACGGGGGTGTGTTTGGGTGAACGGGGCTGATATTAGGAAAACTGCCGGTGATATTGACCAGAACAATCAAGCAAAAAGTGTCACAAAGTAAATGTCATTTATGCTGGAATAATTATGTTTAGATAAATAGGGAAACGATATTACGCATTTATACTCGAAAAACGTAAAAGAAATGAAAAAAAAATATATGATCTTGCATCGTGTGTACGTTAGCCTGGTCCGTTATCTCTCGCCGAGACTCCTGGCGCCCATCGAGCTTTCGAAGAAATAACCAGCGAGAAAGAGATTCCACGACGTTGTACGCATTTTTCTCCCTGCGGAGTTTTACCGTTTACCACGCGGTATCTCTCTACCCGCTAACGATAAATCACAACCGCGCGTGAGCAACGTAAATTACGAAAGAAATAGATATACATACACGGAACAAACGTACGAACGAATGAACGAACGAACGAACGAACGAACGAACGAACGAACGAACGACGAGCAAGTTAAACGAGCAGTACCTGAATGGAAGA